ACCTGATTTCCGTGCGGCGATTGGCAAAGGCCGGCATGGACACGAACTCGAAGGGAGCCAAGACCTACACCGCAAGGCTTGGCGAGTGGATTCTATGGGACCTTCATGAGGATAGGGACGTCTACAATGAGATGTGGCAGATCCCTGTGGTCCCCATGCCTAAGGAGACGCAAGTGGCACCAAGCGTCAGCACCAAGGGTGAAACGGTTGGTAGCGGCGATGGTGCGAACGGTCGCGCTAAGGAGAACGAGTCCAAGAAGAGCAATCTTGGAGGGACCAGCAAGCTCGGTGAACCTAAGGAGAGAGGTGCAGCAGCCAAGGAGCAGCACAAGGGTGAGGAGAACCCCGAGGCAGCAGCGGAGGAGGAGTACGGAGAGAGCAGGTGGGGCGCTATTGCGAGTGCGGCATTCTCCAATCCGACTTCGGCTACGGGGGAGTGTGATTGGCTTACCTTGCATCGGCGAATGGGGCATGTGGCCCTGCCTATCTTGCAGCAGCTAGTGAAGAATGAGATGGTTGATGGCATACATGTGAAGGGGGAGCCTGATGAGGTGCTTGGCTGCCCGACGTGCATTCAAGCCAAGTTCACCCGGTTTCCGTTCCCTAGTTCGGAGGCAACGGCAAAGGCACCACTTGATGAGGTGGTGATGGACGTGGTGGGCCCCCTGAAGCTTGGAGCTGCTGGAGCTGAGTATTTTCTCACCATTGTCGACGTCTACACCCGCATGACTTGGGTGTATGTGCTGGCCAAGAAGAGCGACGTGGCTGAAACGTTGAAGACGGATTGGTTCCCGATGGTGGAGCGGCAACAAGACCGTCTAGTCAAGTCAATCCGCACCGATCGAGGGGGAGAGTTCCTGAGCAAGGAGTTTGGGTTGTGGCTGAAGAAGAATGGTATTCGGCACTCCCTCACCATGCCATACTCCCCTGCAATGAACGGCATCGCCGAGCGAGCGAACCGCACAATCACGGAGGCGGCACGCGGGTTGCTCATTGAAGCCGGGCTACCCGACTATTTCTGGCCTGATGCGGTGCGGAGCGCGTGTGTGGCCAAGAACAGAGCCTTGACTCATGTGGGAGCAGACAAATGGGTGCCCTATGTGGAGTGGCTAGGAAGGAAGCCAAAGGTGGATATGCTTTGGGTGTTCGGGTGCATGTGCATGGCGCTCGTGCCTAAGCATCTTCGGCACAACAAGCTTGGTGCCAAGGCAGTGTGGGCCGTGCACTTGGGCATGGCTCAAAACAGCAAGGGATGGCTTCTTTGGGACCCATTCACCAAGAAGTTCTTGGTGAGCAGGGACTGCAAATTCATGGAGAACTTCATGTACAAGGATTGGAAGGCGGAGAATGAGGCGAAGATAGGCGTGCGGTTTGGGGAGGTGAAGAGTTCCGGTTTGGAGCATGTGGAGCTGCCTTTGGAGCTGAGCAGCGGCAGCACAACCACGAGGCAATCCTCCCTTGTGAATGGGGGAGAGGAGGCCAATGATGCAGAGGAAGAAGAGGAGGAGGTGCAGCAAGTGAGCGAGCGTGCACCGTCACTCCCTTCCCGTACTACGAGTGCTCCACGGATTCGAGCCACACCGCAGCAACGCCAAGGCCTTCAAGTCCCTGCAGTTGAGGAGGAACGAAGGGGGAAGAGGAGAGTTCAACCCCCTAATAGGCTGACCTATGATGCGCCGGGAAATCAGGGCAAGACAGCCCTGGCCGGAGCGGCAATGATGGTCGGAGACGACGAGGAGAGTGACTACGAGGAGTGTGCCTTCGCGTTCTTCTCTCCGGTGGAGATGCCGGGAGAACCAGCAACTCTCAAGGAGGCTTTGGAGAGTAGTGATGCTGAGGAGTGGAAGAAGGCCATGGAGAGTGAGCTGAAGAGCATCGAGGAGAATGACACGTTTGAATTGGTGGAGCTACCGGAGGGGCGTACGGCGATAGCGTCCAAGTGGCTCTTCAAAATCAAGTCGGATGCCGACGGCAAGATCGAGTGCTACAAGTCTAGGCTTGTAGCCAAGGGGTACCAGCAGAAGGAGAAGGTGGACTTCAAGGAGCTGTTTGCCCCTGTGGTGAAGCCGACGACGCTGCGAACCCTATTCGCGGGAGCCGCCATCAAAGGATGGGTAGTAAAACAAATGGACATCGTAACGGCATTCCTTAACGGCATCCTTGAGGAGGAGATTTTTATGGCGCAGCCAGAGGGGTTTGATGATGGTAGTGGCAGAGTGTGGAAGCTGAAGAAGGCCCTCTATGGGCTGAAGCAGGCCCCTAGGCAATGGTACATGAAGCTGCGCGAAGTGTTGGAGGGGATCGGCTTCACTCCCTCAACGGCCGATCACTCCTTGTTCATGCTTGGCGAGGGGGAGCAGAGGAGCTTCATGGTGGTGTACGTGGACGACATCCTGATCTTCTCACCCTCTTCTGACCTTGTGAAGGAGGTGATGCTGAAGCTGCAAGACAAGTTCAAGTGCAAGTCCCTTGGTGACGTCAACTTCTACCTTGGGCTCCACATCGAACGAGACGTGGAGAAGCGGAGCATGCGAGTGCACCAACGGAAGTACCTTGAGGCGTTGGCCGCCAACTTCGGCCAGAGTGAAGGTCATGTGGCTACTCCCTTTCCCTCTGGGTTCAAGTGTGTGAAGGGGCCAGAGGAGGAGAGCGTTGGAGAAGAGGAGAGGCGCCGTTTTCACTCGTTGGTGGGCAGCCTCATGTATGCGGCGGTAAACACCCGGCCGGACGTCGCGTTTGCTACCGGGCAGCTGGCTAGGGTTGTGCAATGCCCTAATGAGGAGCAGATAGCAGCTGGATGATCAGAGCAGCCACACCGGCAACATGCGCCGCCGCCACGGCAGTTTCCTCACCAACCCGGAACGATCCCGTCTCACCGACAGCTGTCCCAGGCGCAGCTGCAAGGATGTTGGCGCCCGGGGCAATGATGTCCGGCTTGAGAATGGCATTGGAGGGACGGGCCTTCTTCGGGCGGCAGATAGTACAGCTCGATGCAGCGAGAGGGCCCTTGGAGGACCATTTGGGAACCATGGGGAGGGAGGTCGATGCAGGGGAGATGGTGGCAGGAAGTCGGGTTCCTAGCCGTGTTGATGCTGTGAGACCTGTGGTGTTTGCTCGAGATTCTAAAGCCGTCGCTGCTGCTGTTGTTGTTGTAGACATTGAAGTGAGGGAGTCCTGGGGCACGGTACTGCATGGTGGGGCAGGGAAGGTGTTGGTAAGCATGAGAAGGGCAACAGAAGATGCGAGAGGAGGGAGGAGATGCGAGAGGAGGGACGTGAGTGTGGAAAAGGGCAAGAAGCGATGCAAATCAAAGTACACTGCAAATCAAAGTACACTGCGAATCAAAGTACCCTGCAAATCAAAGTACACTGCAAATCAAAGTACACTGCAGATCAAAGTACACTGTGAATCAAAGTACCCTGCGAATCAAAGTACCCTGCGAATCAAAGTACCCTGCGAATCAAAGTACACTGCGAATCAAAGTACCCTGCGAATCAAAGTACCCTGCAAATCAAAGTACACTGCAAATCAAAGTACACTGCAGATCAAAGTACACTGCGAATCAAAGTACCCTGCGAATCAAAGTACCCTGCGAATCAAAGTACCCTGCGAATCAAAGTACACTGCGAATCAAAGTACCCTGCGAATCAAAGTACCCTGCAAATCAAAGTACACTGCAAATCAAAGTACACTGCAGATCAAAGTACCCTGCGAATCAAAGTACCCTGCGAATCAAAGTACCCTGCGAATCAAAGTACCCTGCGAATCAAAGTACCCTGCGAAGCTGCAGCGTGGAAAACAAACAATCTCTCTAACAGCTGCATGGTGGGGCATGAAGAGTGTTGGTAAGCGTGAGATGCGAGGAGATGGAAGACGAGGGAGGAGGTGCAAGGAGGAGAGCGTGGAAAAAGGCATGAACCAAGGAAGAAGGGAAGAAAGTACAATGCAAAGCTGCAGCATGGGAAACAAACAACCTTCTGCGTGGGAAACTTACTACCCCTGCCACTACCTAGCAAGTGCTCCCCATTCTCACCTCGCCCCCACGCTGATATAGTAGGGTGCAAAGTTGTTGATGGCAGGGGCAGGACCATACAAGTAACGGTAAAACGGCCTCCCCTCGTCACCCACTGCAAAGGACACAGTCACTCCGGCCTGGGGAGGGAGGAGGGGGAAAGATTATGTTTTTTAGGTGCCCCAAAAAACTCGTTACAGTCACTCCGGCTTTAAGGAGGGTGAGAGGGAAACACATACAAGAGGAGGTGACGAAAGGGTGATGGGCAGGCCTCGGTGCGAGGAGTTGAAAGGCGTTGAAAAGGGTTCAAAGGGTTCGAGCCACAGTAACTCAGATGTGGATGAAGGAAGGGAGGGAGGGAGGGAAAGAAGGCGGGAGAGTGGGATGGAGGGTGGGAGGGAGGGAGGGAGGGAGGGAGGGAGGGAGGGAGGGAGGGAGGGAGGGAAGGGAGGGAGGGAGGGAGGGAGGGAGGGAGGGAGGGAGGGAGGGAGGGAGGGAGGGAGAAAGGGAGGGAGGGAGGGAGGGAGGGAGGGAGGGAGAATGGGGAATGAGAGTGGAAGGGTACGGAAGGTTAGAGGAGGGGGTATGGATTAGGGAGAGAAGAAGCACAAGGAAAACGAGAGAAGAAAGAGAGGGATGGCTGACAAAGCCCTTCTGAGGCGCCCTAACGAGATGACTAGCTGACATGGGGTTTACGATCACATTCCGTACCAGTGTATGCTCGAGTGATGCACCCACCCACCACATTGGCAGGGACACGTATAAGTGTGATAGAAAAACACGCTCGGATCAACCAGCAAAGCCACTCCCTACGCGCATGCACTTCATAACCGCAGGATGCCCCCTCACACCCACAGGATTCCCCCTCACACCCACAGGATGCCCCCTCACACCCACAGGATGCCCCCTCACACCCACCGCACGCCCCTCACACCCACCGCACGCCCCTCACACCCACCGCACGCCCCTCACACCCACCGCACGCCCCTCACACCCACCGCATGCCCCTCACACCCACCGCAAGAGCACCGAGGAAAGGCACGTCGTCAAAGTAGGTCCAATTCCACTTGTCATTCTGATCCCAGGCCGTGTTTCTGTTCGTGTTGTCCAGGGACAAGGTGAGCACATCCACACCGTCCGCCACGGCCTGATCAACGGCTGCAAAGACATCTTCGTCGGTAGTAATCGACTCGCCAGGGCCGCCTAGATCCCAGTAGACCTTGTAGATGGCCAGGCGTGCCTTGGGAGCCACGCCACTGACTGTGCCTCCGCCAGGCACCTCCACGCCGCTGTTGCCCGCTGCTGCTCTGAGAGTGGAGATGCGTGGGACAGGGGAGGGGTGGTTATGGAGGGAATGACCTTGCCACGCCATGCACATGGTCTTCTTCCTTTCGCTGTCTGCCAAACCACTTTGAACACACGCAATGCCATCCCATCCCATGCAATGACATGCCATGCCATGCCATGCCATGCCGTCCCATCCCATCCCATCCCATCCCATCCCATCCCATCCCATCCCATCCCATCCCATCCCATCCCATCCCATCCCATCCCTTGCCATGCCGTCCCATCCCATGCCATGGCATAGTGTGTTATGGCACTCACCACACGGTCCTAACTTCCTGCACTCACCCGGCACACCACGTGCCATGGCCATCAGAATCGCGCGGGGAGGCCCACTCGTCGTCGTGTGGGCCCTGTCCTCCATATTCGCTCTCAAACGCCGCGCGAAAGATGCCCCCTCCGATGATCTTGTTGTTACAATCGAAGTCGCTTGTAGTGGGACACGTGCCCGCCCACCCGGCAGGGAGCGTGCTGCTGTAGCCCTGGTGGGGGGGAGGATGTGGGGTGCACGGGGGTAGCTAAGTTGGAAAAAGTGCTGGTTTGCTGTATCGGGACCGACGAGGAATTCAAAGAGGGGGGCGCCGACGGAGAGAGAGGAGCAGCAGCAGCAGCAGCAGAAACCCATAAGGTGAAGAGCGATGCTCGGATGTGATCGTACGGTGTCGTCAAAGGAGGGGTGCTCCGGCCACACGCCGCTGTCCAGAATTCCAATCACCGTGCCTTCGCCGTCACTCGACACTCCAGCCGGAGTGGCAGCAGCAGCAGCGGCAGCAGGAGAAGTGGCAGCAGCAGAAGTGGCAGCAGCAAAAGTGGCAGCAGCAGGAGTGGCAGCAGCAGCAGCGGGAGCGGCAACATCAGCAGTGCGGGCATGTGGCAGCTTGAGAGACTTGTGCCCGTCAGCGGCGGCAGTGACGGCGCGGCGGCGTGTGATGGTGCGAGAGGGCGTGACGGACGCCACGGAGGGGTGCCGCCTCATGCGCTGCACCTGCGCTGCCGTGAGGGCCGCCGAGAAGCCGTTGTCTGTGTGCACGTAGCTGAGGGGGAAGGGAAAGCGTACAGGGGGAGGGAAAGCGTACAGGGGGAGGGAAAGTGTACAGGGTGGGGGGGGGGGGAAGAATACAGGGGGAGGGAAAGCGTACAGGGGGAGGGAAATTGTACAGGGGGAGGCGAGGGAAGGAAGGGAGGCGGGCGTGCAGGGGAAGTTGAGAGGGGGCGGGCACGGAGGGCGTGAGGGTCGTTGAGAAGCCATTGGATGCGTGCAACAGCCTTAACACCAGATTGAACACACACGTCCGCTCACCTGTTGAACGTTCTCTAGAGTGTCGCTCGACTATCCTGCATTACCGCCCTTTGCATGCGCTGCTGCATTACCGCCCTTTGCATGCGCTGCTGCATTACCGCCCTTTGCATGCGCTGCTGCAGCACCACGCTCGCAGCAATGAAGTCCCCAAAACTCTTCTCACCCTCACCTGCATACCATCGTTCCCCTCACCTATAGGCCATCTTCCCCGCGTCCACCCCGCTGTCTCTCAGCACGGCCTGCTGCATGCGCTGCAGCAGCTGCTTGAACGCCCTCACGCCCGGCGCCCTCAAGTTCAACCGCGGCCTTCGCAGCGAACGGTTTGTGCCCCCTGAACCGCTGGTGGCAGCAGCAGTGGCAGCAGCAGTGGCAGCAGCAGCAGCAGAAGCAGCAGTAGGAGTGACAGACGCAGTGCCAACGCCACCGTTGCTTGCAACAGAAGCCGCGCCAACGCCATCGCTGGCCTCATCGTCTGAAGCGGCGCCTGCCGCGTTGGCGTTAGGGTCGCTGTCCCAGGCGGCCGTTGCCGGGTAGCCGGCAAATCCCCCGTGATACGACGCAACAGGCGGCGCAGAGCGAAGGCGGACGATGTAGATCGCGGAGGCATGGGAGGGGGAAGCTGCGGGGGATGGGGGGAAACAGGACGAGGGGGGGGGGGAAGAGGCGGCACGGAGCGGCAGAGCAGGGGAAACATGGGGTGCGGTGGAGCGTGCGGGAGATTTGGAAATGACAAGGGAAGGGGGAGGGAAGGCGGACAAGTTGTTGAGCGTGCAGGCATCAATACAGGCAGCTGCGAGTCATTGGCTGAGAGAGCAGGGCCAGGGAGAGCAGGGCCAGGGAGAGAAGTCGAAATGGGAGTGAGTGGGGGAAGGGACGCTATGAGCCTGATTTTGAGGCGTCTCAGATATAGGACGCTACGAGCCTGTTTTTGAGGTGCATCAGATATAGCAGTGATGCTACGGAGCGCCGTGGTGTATGGCCGTTTGCTTACCAGCGTTGGTGGGGAGGGAGAGCGTTACGGGTATAGTGAGGAGGAGCAATGGTAGGAGAAGAGAAGCCCATAATTGATAAGGCAGTTTCTCATACAGCAACGAATGCTGTTTGTGAGAAGCCATAGAGAGATTGTAGTAGCAGGGGAACGGCGGTAGATTTGAAAAGAAAATGACAAAAATGCCGAGCCACTCGGAGATATATTCTAGAGAAGCTGGCTGCTACTGCGAAGCACAAAAGGGTGGTACCTCGTGAAATCAATAGTATGTAGAACGGACGATGAATCTAAAGTCTTCCCTTCTCCGCCTCACTTTGCTCCCACATTTGCTCATCGTCATCGCTCGCTGCTCTCTGCCTTGCTGGCACGACTATGGTCGTTGAGGTTCCTGCTTGGTCGTGAGGGTCAAGTGGAATGCCTAAGTCGCAATACAGCAACAGTACGATGACTCTCAAACGACGCACGACTACTTTCAAACGAAGCACAATGACTCTCAACGACGCTGCTGGTGGTGTCATGCTTTCTTCCCTGTTACGGGTGCAGGGCTCACGGTAGCAGGGTGCACATCCGGAATTTCGTCGACATTCCGGATGTTTTCGTCAGAGATCCGGATTTTGAGGGGTCTGAACTCAGAATCATCCGGACTCATAAAGGGTATTTCTCAGAGACATCCGGATGCATAAGGGTGCTCCTTAGAAACTTTCGTGCCGGAATCGATTGGTCGCATCTTTGAGTTAAGGTTAAGGTTATATATTGATCGTAATCAATGTACAAAGAGTAAACCATAGAGCAGTCTAGAAACATGGCCGAGGTGGCCAGCATCCACAATGGAGCACGTGGAACACACCTTATTCCTTGTCCTCGCGGACAACCGCCAGCTGCCTGGGGAGACGCTCTATGCGATGGGTGACTATGGTGGTCGGAACGGATTTCCCAAGAGCCAGGAGAACCTTAGGTCGGGGTGGATAGAGGGTGTGCCGGTCCTGTCGAAGAGGAGGAGTCGGAGTTTCTGTGCTCGCTTGATGCTGGATGATATACGTTGCCGCTTCTTGGCCGATTGACGTTTGCCTCTCCACATATAGATTTTGAAGGCGATTAGGAACTGGGCTAGGATGAGCTGCAGTATCTCGAAGCTCGAGGAGGAGGAATTGCGGTACCTGTGGTCACAGCGGCTATTCCACAGCGTCTTGGCTGCTGCTCCCACTAGTAAGCTCCATGGGGGGGGACTGTCCAACCCGTGACTATATTGGGAAGAAGATGTGTTCGGCGGGGGGGGTTTGTCCGAGGTGGCGGCCAGCGACTGTGCGAAGAGCAGAGATGACATTTCCGGCAGAGGCGCATTCGAAGAAGATATGCGGCAGTGTCTCTACAACAGCAGCGGGGCACCGGGAGCATACCCCTCGGTCGTCAAAATATTGGAAGCGTGATCCAGAGGGGAGAGTTAGAGTGTAGAGTCTGAAGAGGATATCCCGTTGACGGCTCGGCTGGTCTTTGAGAAAGGGGTCCTTGAGGCCAGGGAGAGGGGGGGAGGAAGGGTGAGGTCTCGGGTCCATCGACTGTGGTGAGTGAGTGGCTGTGTGGAGTAAAGGAGACGGCGGATGTCGGCGAGGCTGGGGGTACCGTCCTGTAGAAGTTCTACCCTAGCTCCTAAACCTGTCCCTGTATGAAGTGGCCCTGCGAGCCACCATTCCCTGACATACACCTCAATGAGCCACCATTCCCTGACATACACCTCAATGAGGTCCTGTAAACGGAAGAGTCCGGCATTGATTGGGGTACGGCCGATGCGATGGTTGGGGGAGACGGAGTGGACAGTAGCCGAGACGGTAGAGGGGGGGATGAAAGCGACGACCTGGATGGCGAGGTGAGATATGGAGTAATGGTCATCCGATGGCATGAACCAATCTCCCGGGGAGGCAGAGGAGGAGTGAGGGGACCGGAGGCCGGCCCACCATGGAGGCTTGATAGCCTTGATGAGATCTGGGAGGAGGCGTGTGGCGTCGTCGTGGAATTCCTCCGGGAGTTGGGAGCAGAACTCCCGAGTAGAGATAGGACTGACGTCGAAGTTGGTGATTCGGACGATGTGTCCAATGCGGAGTTGCCGTGTAAGCAGGAATCGCTCGTGTTGGCGGGTGCCGAAAGGTCGCTCGTCGGGTTTGAGGAGCCACCGGTTGAAGGCGAGAGGTTCGGTAAGGATGCATTGCATGCGTAAGGGTGGGCCATGGATTACTAGGGGAAGAGCGAGGAGGGTTTTAAGTTCATCTAGTGCCCGCGGGGGGATGAAGGAGGGAAGATAGTCTCGTTCAAGGATGGCCTTATGGGAGAGCAAACCGTGTAGCCCGAAGGGGAACGGGTTCAGGGTCCGTGCGACTTCCTCGGACGGAGTGGGTCCAAATCTGCGTAGTGCATGCTGGATAGCGAGGGCTTTGATTTGGGTAGATGGGGCGATCGCACCAACCCCACCGTCTTGGGGTGAGTTGTAAAGGAGGCCATTGGGGAGGAAGCGTTGTGCGAGGCCGTCTTGTTTATGTTTTGAGGACGAGAGGAAGTTCCCAACTGATATGTCAATTTGTTTGATGGTGATCGGTGGTGCAGGTTGAAAGCGACCGGGATAGGAGATGACGGAGTTCAGAAAGATCGATGATAGAGATTTGCGGCAAGTGACCGTGGCATGTACGGCTGCCAGAAATTTGGCGGTGTTTTGTATGCGGGCGAGGGTTTAGTCCAGGTGGTGGATCCAGGGTGTAGACGTTCAACATACAAGGATGCGTTCTGCTTCGCAGGGGGCTCGGATGGGGATAGGCCCGGCGTGCGCGATGCCAGTGGGGTTAATATTGAAGGGAATAATGGAGCATTTGTTCCAATTGGGTATCTCTCCAGACACAGAGCCGAAGACGCCGAGTAGTATCACTGCGAGGCCGAGCTCTGTATCTGAGGTGAGGAAGAGAGTGACATTGTCCGCGTAACATGCCATGAGTCGGCGCTGGACGGGAGACAGAGCGAAGCCGGGCAGGAAGAGGGACATGTATCGGTGGAAGATCTCTATGACACAGACGAAAAGAAGAGGTGCCAGAGGACAGCCCTGACGGACTCCTGTGCGGACAGGGAAGATTGGGCCGAGCATGTTGTTGACGGAGATTCGTGTGGTCGTGTCGGACTGCATTAGTCGTACCCAATGTATGAAGGGAGCTGGAATCCCTAGGACTGCTAAGGCTTGGAGGAGAAAGGGGCGGTCGACCAGGTCGTAGGCCTTTCGAAAGTCTACCGTAAGAGCGAGAAGAGGGTTTGATGAGAATGCTGCCCAGTCCATGATGTCAAGGGTATCGTTGATAGTGTCTCCAATTTTCCTGTGTTTGATGAAGGCGGTTTGGGATGGGTGGATGAGCTGGGGAAGAACGAGCTGGAGGCGGTTAGCAAGACACAGCGCGAGTACCTTGTAATCAGCGTTCATGAGGATGATGGGGCGAAGATTTTCTACGAGCGAAGAATCACCCCGTTTGGGGATGAGGACAGTGCGTCCGGTCAGCATGGACGGGGGTAGGCGAGAGAGAGGTTGTGGAGGGGAGAGCAGGGAGTGGAAGACCGGTGCAAATCGCGGGGCGAATTGCCGAAAGAGTTCCCCAGGCAAACCGTCTGGGCCAGGGTTTTTACCTCGGGACAGAGAGAGCAGTGCTTTACCAATTTCAGCTAGGGAGAAGGGGGCGCCGAGTCGTAGGAGTAGGGGGTTCGGGATGGAGGAGGGAGGGATGTGTTGCCAGAAGGCCGTGTTTGCGGTGGCGGGGGTGTTTCCGCTGTAGAGTGTCTGGAAGAAATTGGAGCACAGGTTCGTCATGGTGGGGAGATCCGACGTTGTTTGTCCATTAGGTAAGGTCAGGGAGCTGATGATCGAGCCCTTGATTCGCGAGTTGAGGCCAGAGAGAAGAGAGGAGACTCCCATTTCCCTGTGCCCTTCCACTTTAAGCTTGGCCTTAAGCGCAATTTCGGAGGCTTTTGAGGCTTCATACCGGGCCAGGTGGAGTCTTGCTTGGTCAAGGCTTTCTGAGTGAGACTCATCTGCGTTCCGAAACAGCTGTAATGGCGGGTCCAACTTTGCACATGTACGGTTTTTTTCCAGCTCAGTTACCAAAATTAAGCATGTAACAGAACTTCTCACGTGCGAAATCCGTTTGACACGAGACTGTACATAAATGACCTTATTTCGAAAACGTGCCCCAAGACGTGCGGAACACATCCGAAGGTTCGTCTCCAAATCGATTCCCGTCAAAGTCGTCAAACAGTATCGCCCGTTTTTCGCCAAAACCCTTTCGCCATTATATTTTTCCCTTCGCCCTAGACGCGGAAACCCTCGCAACATTTGGTAACTATCCTTCCCAGGTACTGTACCTCGCAACGTTAATGCACCTCGTCAAACGTCCGCACTGTACACTCCGAACTGGACAGGAAACATTAGGACAGCGCCCTGGGGTACAGTCAAATTTGACAAGTGAGCTGACGTAAAAATAACGGAAAAAAACGGGAGTGTGCAAAGTTGGACCCGCCCTAAGCCAACAATAAGATTGTCTTGTATCCTGAAGTGGCCCAGCTAGTTAGTTGGTTCATTTCCGAAAGATGAGGTCCCGGGATCAAATCCCCCCTGCGGCGTGTTCAGCCAGCCCCCTTGAAGGGGGTTACACAGGTGCTCATCTGGGAGTGGATAGAACAACCTCAATACCCAGCGAGGCGTGTAAACAAATGGGTAGGCGGATTACGATCCACAGCCGGGGGTAACCCAAAGGGGGATTTCCCGCCTCCTTTACCTTTACCTTATAAGATTGTCTTGTGTTTTCACACTCACAGTCAGTCTAGTGGGTGCCTGTTCCATTGTTAGGAACATTTCAGGAACTTCTATAAATGTGTGATTTTCTCGAGTACTTCTTCAAGTATGCCCTTCACTTGTATTATGCAGCAGTTACGACTCGATGGGCCAAAGGGTGTTTCATAGAGAAACAGTGAGTCAGGGTACCCCTTGATAGAATCCGGACCAAAAAGGGTGGCCTTTCTACGGATCGGGAATTTTACGTATGTTTGCGTGGGG